AGCTAAGCGCCTGCAACAGGCATGTGGCCTGTGAAACCTTTTGTCAATGAGTATTGTGGTTTGAGGAAAGACAGGAAAGTTCATTAAAAGCCACTCAGGTTCACTAAAAACTTAATACTCAGAATGGCTGGAGTCTGGCAAGATTTTAGAGAGAAGAATCATATATGCTCCTTCTTCTGCTCCTGTCCAGTTATCTGTTTTTGACAAACATCAGAGATAACGGATTAGCTTAGATGGACCTTTAGTTGGACTCACAACTCATTTTTATAGCAAGAGGTAGGGTATGCAGCCCTGAAGCAAAGTGGTAAACATATAACAAGAAATAGCTGGGCAGGAAAATGTCACTGTTCTGCGCTCCTTCTGCTTAAAAAGTGTATTGGCTAGATAAGTTAGAGGGAATACATATATATAGTAGATGTGTGCATGCAATGGGTGTCAGCGATTCACACACGTGCCTTACTCGACAGAATATTCAGTGGAGATTGAGGCAGCTGCTTCTAAAACAAGTGTCTGCAGTAACAAATAGCAAGCTGTCTCAGTGAAACACATCTGTGGCTTGCTCCTGGTGAAATTTACTGTGTTCACATAGGAAAGATGTGTGCCTACATTTTCATGTAGAATTTTCATGTAGAGCATCTACATGAAAATAAGCAGCATTTTCATGTAGAATAAATCCACAGATTCTTTGCAAATACCTCCAGCTTTGCATGCAAACACTAACAAAAGCAAAGTGGGTCATATTGTTTAGTTCAAATCCAGTAAGAGATGCAGTGATTTTTGAAACTATCAAGAAAGAAACTGAGGGCTGAAAAAACAGGAGAATTTTTGCAAACAGTGTTAAGAAACCCAGTCTGAAAATATCCATAAAGCACAGAGGATAAAGAAAATAGATATGAGTTATAAATATATAATACTATAAATACATAAATACAAGCATATTTGATTTTGAGATTTTCAGATACAAACCTTGAACTTCCCCTCCTCAGTCTATTGCAGTTTGTTTGTTTTGCATAATAAAATTATTTTGGTTTCTCTGTTCAAGCATACTACTATTTCTTTCCTCAAAAAAGCCCACATTCCAGTGCAATGACATTAGCTGTGTGAAGACACACGGCTTATTTCAGCTGAGAAGTGTTCTGATCCACAGGAACTAATTAGAGCATTTTCTCGAGCTCATTCCTTTCTTCTCATTAGTGGTGACCAAAGACAACTGCTGAGACATGATTATTGCAGAACTGTCTGCTAGCGGCACGTGATCTTATCTGAAATAAATCAGCAACTACTACAAGAGTAAGGGGTAGGGAATGCTTAGGAAAATGGCCACTGGCAGAAAACAGCCCCAACAAGAGTCACCCGAATGCCACACAAACTGCTCAGGAAAAGGCTGAGAGACTTGGGGTAGTTTAACCTGGAAAAGGCTCTGAGGAGTCTGTTGCTGCCTTTCAGTACTTAAAAGAGGGTTTATAAGATGGAGACAGACTTTTTAATAGGGCCTGCAGCAATAGCTCAAGGGGTAATAGTTTTGTACTAAAAGAGGGGAGATTCAAACTAGATATAAGGAATTAATTTTTTACAATGAGAGTGCTGAGGCACTGGCTCAGGTTGCCCAGAGAAGCTGTGGCTGCACCATCCCTGGCAGTGTTCAAGGCCACGCCGAATGGGGCTTGGAGCAACCTGGTCTAGTGGACGGTGTCTCTACCCGTGTCAGTCAGGTGTGTTGGAACTGAAGGAGCTTTAAAGTTCCTTCAAAGCCAAACCAGTCTGTGATTCTATGATTTCTCAGTGAGGTCTGCAGGTTGTTGTAACTGATGGGTATTTCAATCAGTGCACTCAGGCATGTCATATGCTCTGGAAGGCTCAACAGCTTCATAGAGACAGTTCTTGAATTCAATAAATCAGTGTTATTTACAATTTAGTTTACCTGGGGGGCAGGGGGAGCTATTCCTTCGTACCTTACTCTACAAGTAATACATTTAACCTCCAAGGGACAGACAGCTTGTCTCATCTGTTAGTGCTGGGCAAACAACCAGCAATAATGATGTGAGAAGTGAGGAAAAGGAAAGCATAAGTTGTTCACCCAGTTTAAATGTGGGCTTCCATGCTAATAGTATAGCATTTATGCATTTGTGGTGCTTTTATACATTCCTGCTTGTCATGCTTTTTTTTAAAATTGTCTGGCTGCACAAACTTCTAAAAATCTGAATGAAGTTGTCATAGCATCACACTCTGACTGGACTGAATGTCCCATGGAGTCAGCTTATATGTCGGCACATTATAAAGACAGAGTAAAATTCATGTGAAGGGAGTACAGAGGGCTATTCACAATATTGGCACCGTCATGCCCCTAAGAAGTATAAGGGTTGCTCTAACTGTTCAGTCTTTCCTGACTATATGTTTCAGACAAAGAGTGGGTTGCTCTGCTGAAGAGTGTTAATAAGACATGCCAGATCTTAACAGAGTCAGTCAATGTGACAAATCTTGTAGTCTAAAGAAATGGTCAGGGCAGAATTTAGCATCAAAGAGCAACCCCACCACCAGGAACAGGCTCGAGTAATTATAAAATCTATTGTGCTGCACAAGCACACTCAACAAAGAGCATTTTAACTTCCCCAGCCCTTCAAAATCCCATTTGTTTCTACTTCCAGAGTGTAGTGGGGTTTAAAAAGCATAAATTTTCAAAAGTGACAGATTTAAATCCAAACCAAAATAACAACAACAGGAAAAAGGGAAAACATCACACCTGGTTTATGGGGAAGAAAATCAGATGGCATTTTTATATGCAAATGATGAATATCTGTGGGAAAGAATTCAATATGATGAATGTGCTCTGTTTCCTCTCTGCTATTAAATGAGCTCCTGTGATGCATTTGCCTATCCTAGCCTTGCTTTCCCATGCAAATTTCCAGCAGCTGTATAGGGGGGACAGAGCACAAGGCCATGACTGGTTCACCCATTGACTGATGGATCTTTTTCCTACCAAGGAAGGCAGTTGAAAAGAGGAAAGACTCTTTTAGGTTTCTCTGTGGTTTGGTTTTATTTATTTATTTTTTCAGTTTTAACATTTCATTACCTGATACCAGTAGCTTTTATTTTTTAGGGAGAACAGAGTCTATCACAGTCACACATTGAGTCCATGACTCAGCAGTAGTTTCCCAGGTGCCACCATCTATGACTACACAGAAAAGTTGAGCTCAGTCTCAGTGTGTCTTTCAGGCCTAAAAATTGCCTATGTACTTCAAGAATCCCCTCAAAAGAGTTTAGTTTATATTGGCAGTAGCTGTGCCAGTAGGGAAAAAGATTTTCAGTGGTATATGCTACCCCGTCACTGGGGGTTTCTACAACAGAACTATAGCATAGAGACCTTTGTAGGTGCACTTTGTGACCTGTCCCTGTTTAACTTATCTGATTTAAAAGATTGAATAAAAATGGAAAACCAAATAATTTTCCCACTTTCACAGGTAACTGATTGCTTTCTGATTTTTAACACATGGAAGCTAACATCCAAAGTCATCATCTTGTAGTCCCCAAACACACAGAATTGTCACTGCAGCCAATGAAGGTTTTGCCAAAAGAGACTGCAATAGTAAATCAAAGACACTGAAACTTACTTTCAGAAGGAGAGGTAAAATGAAAATTAAATGAGTTATATTCATCTTGAAAGGACTAAAACTTTAAGACAGTGCTGGAAACAAAGGGTTAGATTTCTGATAGGGAAATGTTACAATTGTTGTGTGTCTGGGTGCCTTAATTTGAAGACAAGGAAAACTCTTCCCACTACTAAAATAGGCTCCTTGATTAGGAAAAAAAAAAGGAAGAAACAAATAATGACAGCCAATTTCCAGTGCTTTTAGGCTATTCCATCTCAAACAGTGTGATGAATGCAGCAATATCACTTTTGGCTATAGCACGAAAAATATTATTCTCTATAGACGCTCCAGCATAAAACAAAAATGCTTTTATTACCAGTAGCAATGATGTGACATGCCTGATAAATGCCACTTTAAGACTCCTTTGGGTCCCAGCATCCCTTCACACTTATTATCAAGTTACTAATAGATTCTGCAGGTTTGACTGGCCATCATTTAAGAGTGTCATTTTCTCTAAAATGACAGAAAAGTAAAATGTTCTAAAACGTTCAATTTTTCTCTTTTCCCTGACTGAGTGACTAATGAGTAAGAATAATAACTTTTATTCGTGTTGTCTAAGTGATGAAATGGCCATTGTAGAATGATGAATATCAAGTAAAGATGTTTTCATTTAACATAGGCAGGGAAAAAAAATACATGAACCTTTAAATCTTAAAAATATGAAAGAGAACAGGCAGCTATTTAAGTATTCACATCTCTTGTTTGATAACTGAGTCTATTTCCCTTTGTTATTAGTTTTTCTGTGGATGCATAGAAGCATTGATAACAGGGTCAGACGTTACAGATTAAATTCTTATTTGCAAGATGATATTGTCCAAATGCCCCCCTGATATTAATACCCCTTTACTCTTGGTACTGTGTAGATATACCATAAAGGTTAATTCCCATAGGAGAGTGTAGATGTTAGTAGATATACCATAAAGGTTAATTCCCATAGGAGAGTGTAGATGTTACATAAACCAAACAGAAGATTGAAGCAGAAAGAGATGCACAGAAAAACAGTTGTACAGCAGATTCATGGCAGACCTCACAATGTGTTATATTTAGATTAGAGATGATACTTAGGTTGCAAACGCCTCAGAAGGGTCCCTGCCTTTCAAATCATAGCCATAACACCCAGAAGAAGACAATCTTCTCCCATAGATGGTTTCTACAGTATACTACAGTACCAACAGAAATAAGAATATAAACCACATCTTTCTGCACATGTAATTACTTGGAGCTGAGTGCCTAATTCTCTTAAGCCACTTAAAAAACCCAGCATAAATTCTTGTCTGTATTAGAGTATTTGATCTCATCATGACAAAGATACAGTAAAAATACTATACTAACTAAATCAGTGTAAATGCTCACCTGACCCTCTGCTCATCATGCTCGGTCCTTGTAGTTCAGTCTGATCAACAACGGGGGCCACTGGTTGTTGATGTCTTCTGCAAAGAAGAAAACATTAAATAGTAATCTTTCCTTTCAAGGGAATAGATTTTGTCTTTCTCCATATTTAGGAAAAAAAAACAACCCAAAACTTCATTTCAACCTAATTGTGTGTTGATCAACTACAGGGTTTTTAAAGATTTTTCTTAGAAGTTTATCTTTCCTTAAGATAGCTTGGCCAGCTCAGTCCAGTGAGTTTATTTGTGGATCAAAGGCACAAAGTGACACGTGATTAACATTGTGTCTGTATAAACACAGCAGAAAGTAAGCATATTCTAACATTATTTAAAGTAAAGGGTAAGACAATATTTAGATTTGGCAATAACTTCAGTGGAGACACTACTGATCTGCACAACAGATGTCTTGTTTCATTGACTTCAGTATTGATTTTCATGAGTCCACCTATCCCAGATCTTTATCTATTCATTTCTGCAGGGAGACTGAAATGTCACTGGAGATCCCAGTTCTGCCAAAAAGAGATTGAATGAGCTAGATATGAGCCAGCATCTTTAGTTGCTTCCTTGGAGATGAAGAAATTCTATCATAGAAAAGGACTGAAGGACAAAGGGCTTTATGGTATAGGGAATGATCAGCCACCACCCCAATTGACTGACCAGGCAGAGCAAACTACAGGCTGTAGGAAACAAAAGCAACAGTAAAGGAGCTGATTCTGCAGCTTCTTCAGTAATAGTGCCACAGCCTCTGATCCACTTAAAGAGGATTCCCATTGCTACTGTGCTTCTTATTCATTAGACAGACTCTGAAACGTCAGCTCTGGTAACAAGTGGTCATTTCTGATCATAACAAGTTTGTTGGCAAAGAGGAATAAAAACAAACTATTTGATCAGAAAGATCACAGAATGCTGCTCTGGCTGTATTGCAGGCTGTGTAATGTAAACTCTACCAAATAAACACTCCCAGATATTTTCCTACTCTCTGATTACTATACTAGAAATGCTCAATAATGTTCAACAAATGTACGAAAACAGCATATGTCAATCCAGCGTTTCCTTCAAACTGTTCTATTTTCAGTTCCTGTTTTGTTCAATTAACACTGCTATAACTGACTCACTCTTGTTACATCTGATCTGCTTGGGAAGAACAGAAGGAGTTTTCATTAGCATTGAAAATCTATAGTTAAACAACTTTTTAACAGTGACACAAAGGTGAAAGTCAGGAAGATGAAGTCTGATGCTCAAAGGTCCTTCTCAAAATGGTGGCAAAAAGTATGTTCCTAGGACTGATATGAAGGCTAAGCAAAGTCTGTGAATCTCTTCCTCCAGCCAGAAGAGAACAGAAGCAGAAAGCACCTTTGTGTGATATCATTAGTGATCATTGTTGTATGCTAACACTGGTAAAAGCGACAAAGTAATCTTTTTTGTTAAGTTTCTTTTGTGCACTTCTTGCATGTGCTCTCTTTTTTCCTTTGTGTATTGCCAGGAATTCAAGTATTTAACAGAAGAGGACAGAAGAATATACTTTCAGCTTAGCCAAAAAAATCAGATTAAAGCCAAGTATGGAAAGCTTACGGAGAAAGGGCTTTACTGTAGCTGGGAGAGGTGGTCCCACCCAGGGAAACATCTATATGATTTACCTTTTTTCAAAACCCCAACTCTTTTCATGCCAAATAAGCCACTAGTGATTTCATTTGGTATTATTCTACAGTGATGCTGATGATGCTAAGTACCACCCAGTACAGCTGTGGGCCCTGTGCAGAAGACTGATCTAATTTCACACAGCACTCTGAAATAGAAAAAGCAGGCGGGAAGGACAGAGTGATTCCAACACTCACGCAGTTATCAAGCAAAGCCTGCTGTTGGATTACAGGCAGGTAAAAAGCTGATGATGGGAACTGCGGCTAGCATGCTGAAGCAAAACACGAGAGGGTCAAGGCCCAGCATGCAAGTGTTTGCCAGGTGTGTGGGCAGGGGAGAAGACAAGGTATTGCCAGTAGGATGCTCTGGAGGTACTGTGGAAGTCCCTTGTCCCTTGCTCCTGATCTACCACTGTTCCATTGGAGCTGTGGCTTGTAAGCCAGATAGGAGAGAACGTGTGCAGGCTGGGAGATGAAGAATAAGTGATAGGTGACAGGTCAGGGATGGAAAGATGAGTATTATGAGCCAGCCAGGCAGAGCAGTTAACTAAAGCCACACAGGAGACAAAGGTCATGCACTGGCATAACTATTTTCCTACTGGAAACTAAGGAAAACTGAAAGGTCCAGGACTCTCACATCTTCACTGAGAACAATACCCAGTGGTACACTTATTTAAAAACATACTCAAGCATGTAATTACAATTTCTATCTTAAATGGCGAGCCTGCCTGAGTCAGAAACCAACAAAGTGGGAGAAATGCAAGTGGACTTCAAATATAGTTCATATAAACTGTGAGAATCAACAAACAGCACATTCATCCCAGACTCCCTGGTGAACTGCGTGTTAGAAATCATTTGTAGAATTATTTTTTTAGTCCTGAAGACAAATTCATGCTGCACAAACCTAGAAGACTCTGTTGCTATTAAATCATCATCAAAAACATCAACAAAAGGTCATTTTGTCAGTGCTCTTATTCTATATTGCTAGACCCAGATATCCCTGTGCCTGCCTGGATCTCTCTGCCTGAGGTGCTCTTCCCTTGTTGCTCAGGTGAAGGCAGCTGCTATATGGATATACTTTACAATGTGTTTTGAAATTATTCTCTAAATAAAAATTGGGCTCTGTGGGCTTCAACAGGCAAGTATAAATAAAGAATGTGTCTCTGGTTTAAACACAGTAAGTAAAACACACATCCCTAACACAGAGTAAGAAACATTTCTGGATAGAGGTAGGAAGGTAAGACAGTATGTTTTAAAGAAAAGCTAACACTTCTGAGCATTTCTAAGATGGATTTGTATGAACATTACCCTGAAAAGATTTTAGAAACAGGTATATTAAAATGCTAATTTGAAATTATTACGAATTTTTGTCTGAGGAGCAAGTTGTCTTAAAGGTTCCATTTTCTAACATGGAACTGTTTTCACTTTATGAAATATTTTGCATTATATTTTAATTAAAGTTATAATTACAGAACTAAATATAATTAGCTTCTTTCTTCAAAAGAAATTGGAAGTGAACCTACTTTATTAAATTTTCAATTTGTTTCCTGCAGTGTTACATAGTTTATTCTAATTAATTGAATGAGATCTCATAAATATTTTATCAACACAGGGATGTGATTAACAGCTCGAGTTTTGTGTGGGTTTCTTTTTTCTTTCCAGCTTTCTTCTTCTCTGCATTACCATTCCCCCAGTTTTCACATGCACTCTCCTGCTTTCAGTGACAGCTTGAATACAGGAGCATTTCCAGACCTTCCCCCTTCCACAGCAGAATGCTGTATTTTAGTAGTCTTGGCCATAGGAAACCATTAACTTCTCTTTGGGAATGTTTGTTATTGAAGGGAGTTCTCATGTAACACAGACCAAGGTAGTGACACTCATTTCTTGTGTGATTTATGACTTCCACACTGAACAGCTTCCTGAAGAATCTTCTCTGCTTTCAGTGTGTGTGTGTGCAGAGCATTTCTCTATTCCTAGAGCAGATAAAGCAGAAAGGAGTATAAAGGACAGTAAGCCCCCCCATTAGCACACCCTACTCCAGGGATTATGAAATGGAGCAGAAGGTACATGTCACACAGCTCCCTAGTACCTCTTGGGTTGCAAAGGGCTCAATTTTTATGTGGCATCAGTGAGAATTAAAACTTGTGGGTGCCGAATGGAGCTATAGCGGTTTGAGCCTCGGGTTTGAGTTGTTCAGCTTCCCCTTTGCCATATGGACATTCAGCACAGCAGAAACATCACCACAATGCCCTCAGGCTCCTCTTATTAGATCAAGAGCTAGCATCATGGGGAAAAAAAGACCAGGATCTTCCCAGAATCACAAGGAAAGAGGCAGTCCCTGCTTCAAAGCATGTCAAATCAAACAAAAAGGAAAGGAGGATGTGAAGGTGAAGTGACCTGCCTGTAGTTATCAGGGCAAACACAAGAATTTGCTCTCTTAATCCCCATTCCAATGCTGCCTCCCTCCCCATCACTACTGAAATAGGATGAGTGTGTTGGAAATGCTGCTCTACAGCCACAGCACTGAGTAGATATACTTATCAGTATGGATAGCTAAGCAAATAAACAGCATGTTGATCGTATCAAACAGGAAAAAAATGTAAGTACAACTGCATATAAACTGAACAGTCAGAAAGTAAGAAGATAATCATTATGGCTCTGAATCAGATTGAACCCCTGTTAGTCCCCTGTTTAGAAGGGAAGGGACTGGTATCAGAGTAACACTGTTCTTTTAATATATTCCATATTAATTTAATTAAGCACAGCTTTAATAACAGCAAAGAAAAGACTCAGCCTTCACCATGACCTTTACCATCCAGCAATATCAAAGCTCTGGGATAAATTGAACAAAACTGAAATTCATTTTATCTATCCATTTAGCTCAAGCATGTATTGTGTTACTTACCCGTCTTGTACTGTTGACAGCAAGACTCTGAGTATCTTTTAATATCTAAAGAACAAATTGTTTTCTTGCAAGCATAATTCAAAAGTCCCACTGATGTAAGCTGGAAGTGTACACATTTCTCCCTGGGGAAAAAAAAAAAATATCTCCCTAATTGTTTTTCCTGTTCATACATTCCTTTACTACTTATTCTTTAATTTAGGGTAAATTGTGGAGGTAGAAAAGTGTATCAGATTCATTTCTCATTCTATGTGTTGTACAAAACTGGGTAGTCTTCATCTGCATGCACAGTAATGCTTCTTTTGAATTGTGAAATAAATCAGTGGAAATCCTGTTGACAAGAGCCTTGCACTTATGATTCAGTGATCCCATTGCACTGTTAATGCTGTTTTCCAAAGTCTAAAACTATTTTCCAATCAATCCAAATTTTGATTGATGGACGAAGTTAACCCTGACGTTTACAGGCATTAATTGTAGAGGCTGAAGCAGTGACTCTTGATGCC